CCTGGGCTGTGCCGAGCGGAACCCGGCCATCTCCGGGACCCCGGCCCCTCTCACCCTCGCGAGCAGAGAGGGACGAGGCTGAGGGCCGCACCGAGGGGAAGGGGCTAGAGGAGGGGTCGCCGGACATGACAGGCGGCCCCGGGGGCGTCTGAGAAAGTGAACGCGAAATTGGTTATTTGAATGTGGGCTTTGGGGCGCCTCAGCAGGGCTCCATGGCTTCCTGCTCTGGCTCTGTGCAGCGAGTCGGGCCTGGTTTCTTCCTAACCTTGGGGTTATGGGGTTTCCGGGCGGGAGGGAGCAGGGGAGGCTGGGCGGCCACTTCCGGTCAGGCACTGGATGACCGGAAGGAAGCGCCCTGCTGGGAAGGAGGAGGCGCAAACACGGTGAAAAGGGAAAGAGGGGATCTAATTGGAGCCGTGGCGTGGCCTAGCCTCCCTCTTGGGTTTTATCAACGGTCCCCTTAGTACCGGCCTTTCAGACTTGTTTAAAATCTAAGCATCCCCCAGCCCGCGCTCTCTGTTCATGACTGGAGCTTTATGTTTTCTGCAGCACTGACCGCCTGACTACTGTGGTATGCGTGCGTTTATTTTCTTTGTTGCATTTGCTTCCGTCAGAGTGAAAGCCCTTCACTTTTGTGAATAAAGGAATGAATATCTCATTTTCCTCCTTTGGTTCTTCCTCTACTCCTTAAGATGTGAAAACCTTAAAAAAGGTAGAATACAGGCAAAAGATAATAGAGAAGAAATCTCATCCCTACTCCCGAGACATTAAAATGGAAGAGTAAAATACCCACTCTGTTTACAGAGTTTATTTCCCCCAAAGCAAACATCAGGACATGAGATCTTGCATGTGCAGGGTATTTATGGGAATGCAAGACAGATGTTTGGAATTGTGATTATTCCTGGAAAATACAGGGTGCAGCATTCATAGGCACCTATAAAAGTTCTTGGAAACCTTCACCCGGATAGACCTGGTAGTAAACTTCAGAGATAGTTTTCGGCCCTGGAACTTTAGTTTTCTTTTGGGTACCAAGAGGCAAGCCCGTGGCCTCTCTTCCTCTCTGACCCCACACTATTGCCCTTGGGGTTCTTCTTTTTCCAAGACAGGGTGATTAATCTGGGATCCCAGCCCAGGCTCTGTCCCTCCGCTGTTTGCTCTCCGTTCTGTCCGTGGTACTGTGGGAAGAAACTGGCGAGGGAGGCAGAATTAGGGCCCAAAAGGACGGTGACTGGGCATGGAGAAGAAAAGAGAAAATACCAGACAACAAGGAAAAACCTGCAATCCTTGGCTACCCGGGGGGCCTATGGGTAGGTCCTAGGGCAATCATGGCCCAGACTACAACCCCAAACCCACTTATTTATCCCAGAGCGCCAGCACTGCATGAAACCCAAAAACCCGTTAGCCGATGCTTGACTGCTGAGGTGACTTGGCCCACGTGCCGCCGGACAGGCTTTGAGTGGCCACTGTGGCACGCGTGCCACATTCCGTTTCCACACTATAAATAGTTGTGAAGTATTGGAGCCCAGGAGATTTTCAGGGCAGAGTAATTCATGATTTTTTTAGAGGTTGACAAAGTACGTTGCGCTTCTATAACCTCTGTACTGTCCTCAAAATAAATAAAGATTTCTGAACACGTGTTTGGTGGGAAGGATGGACAAGGATGAAAATGTCTGAAAGCAGGATAGCCCTGTAGGTTCTGGTTATCAGTCCAATATCCACTGATAATTTTGAGGCTCTAGAAAAGGGTCGGCAAACTGTTTTCTTGTTTGTTTGTTTTTTTAACCATGTTGATGGAAACCAGGGCCTCACCTATGCTAGGCCAACAAGCAGTTTTATCCCTGACCTACAGTGCTAGCCATGAAATACTGCTGTGGGCCAAATCGGCCAAGTCGGAGCTGCCTTCTGGTTTTTGTTTGTATAATTTATTTGGGCACAGCCACACCCGTCAATAAGCTTGTAACTCTAAGGGCAAAGTTGTTGAGTTCCTACTGGGATCCTGTGACTTGAGAAGCCTAAGATATTTGCCATGTGGGCTTCTATGGAAAAAGTTTGCCTATCCGGGTCTAGAGCGTTGTGAGGGCACGCTGAAAAGGGTCGTAGTGACTTTCATAGATTCACGACTTTAGATTCCTTGTTGGCAATCTGTGGGTCCATGCTGGCCATAACTTGTAAACACAGAACCAAATTGTGCCCCTTAACTACCTCTTCTGTGAGTTGAGGTGTTCGTAATTTGAGAACGATGTTCATGCATGTTATTTAAAGTTTGACTTTGGCCCATAGGCCATAAGTTTTCATTTGAAACTTTCAAACTAATTTAAAACACGTTTTGTCTCTTTGTCTTTCTTTGTTTTTTAAACCCATGTTAAGAAAACAAACTGGGCGTGGTGGCGCACGCCTGTGATCCCAGCACTCAGGAGGCTGAGGCAGGAGGATTGTGGTGAGTTCAAAGCCAGCCTGAACATGTAGCAAGGCTCTGTCTCAACAAACAAGAAAGCAAACAAATGGAAGGCAAACTGTGAACTTTGACAATATAAAGAACTATAAAAAAAAATTAAAATTGCTTCCATCCTCCTAAAATGTATTGGTTTAAAATAATAATCATTTGTTATTTTCAGGTGACACTTTTATACTTAAAAATACATGATAGCAGAACGGTACAAATTGAGTAACTCATAGGAGAGAATTATTTTGAAGAGGCAGCAGTTGAAAAAAAAATTTTTTTTTGGTACCAGAGATTGAACTCAGGGCCTTGCACTTGTGAGGCAGGCGGCAGAACCACTGAGCTAAATCCCCAGCCCAGCAGTTGAAAATTTTAAATATTATTTCTTCTTGTTGTGTTTTGAACTATTAGTTCATCAGTACCAGCTATGCTTTTCCTCAGAAAACCTTCAACCTCAGAGACAGTTTTTCGTCAAAATACTACTGTGTAGACGGCTTCACTGAATGGTCTCACGTTTATGTTATTTCAAACAACTGCGTGGTAAGGAGGGAAGGAATTATTACCAAGTGTCACCATTTCCTTTGTTTTCTTTTTTGTTCTTTTGAGTCAGGGTCTCACTGTGTAGTCCAGGCTAACCTTGAACTCGTGGTGATCCTCCTGCCTCAGCCTCCCCAGTGCTAGGATGACAGGATGCTTAAAGCACTTGAAAATTGAGGCCTGAGAAATTAGAATGATTCCTCCTCTTAGGCGGCTAATTAGGGTTGGAGCCAGGGCTGGGATCTCGCAGTTGTTAGTCACTGTGCTAGCTCTTTGTGGGTTTTGTAAGGGAACCATGCATGTGTGGTATCCAGTGAGACCAGAGAAGATTAATTCATCTGTCTATAAAAGAAGTGTAGTATCATTCATTTTGTAGGATTGTGAGGTGGTGCAGGGATTATGAATCAATCTGTTGAACACTATGCTTTGAGTGGAGAAAGCACTTTAAAACATTGGGTGCTGTTATACTTTTCCCAGAATTGTGGGAATATGGGATTTTGATTTTTTTGTTCAGAGTAAGTACCATAAATCCCTGAATTATGAACATTCTGGTTGCAAACTTTGTAAGCTCACAAATGAATCAGATTGAGAATAGTCTCTGCTAATAAACTTGCTTTTAAATTGGCGACTTACTGTACATTTCTTTCTTTTTTGGGGGGGTACCAGGGATCGAACTCGGGTCCCTGTTGCTTGCAAAGCAGGCGCCAGAACCACTGAGCTAAATCCTAGGCCCGTACATTTCTTAATTTATCTTTTGTTAAATAAAAAAAACTTAAAGACATCACATATGCACCATGGCTGTGGTTTTCTTCCTTTCCCAAGTGAACCAGTCTCTTCGGTTCTGTTTGTGCAGACAGAGCTCTCTTAGAGAGAGAGAGAGAGGGAGAGAGAGAGAGAGAGAGAGAGAGAGAGAGAAAGCGTGAGCGAGCTGCGTATCAAACCCAAATACAAGGCAGCTCGGAGTTTGTGTTTCAAAAATTTTTTTTATTGTAGTGGTATCATTTACTTTGGTAAATTCATATCCCACTTTTAAAATAGCTCAAAGCAAATAAAACATTTTAAAAATAAAATCAAGTACTGTATTTTAAAATGTACATGTTATACACACAATAGCTGCATAGTGGAATTACTATAGTGAGCAGTTACATTCGTAATGCCCAGCACTAAGGTTTGAATGCTGCAGTAGAGTACAGTAGCTATATGGATTACAATAAATATATATTGTGTATAATAATGATCACTGTTGCTCAGTATAGTAACTTTTTTTTTGTTTTTGTTTTTCTGAGACAGGGTCTCACTATGTAGTTGAGACTGACCTGGAACTCACTATGTAGCCCAGGCTGGTCTTAAACTCACAGCCGTCCTCCTGCCTCAGCCTCCCGAGTGCTGGGATTACAGGGGTGCGTCACCACGCCCAGCCTCAGTATAGTAACTTTTGTAAAGCTTTGATAACATTTGTAGCATTTAACAAATATTGAATGAAACTTTTTCTTTTTTGGTGTTGAGACTTGAACCCAGGGCCTCATGCATGCTAGGCAAGCACTTCACCACCAAGTTCCTCCCCAGCCAGCCAAAGGGTGCATTTTAGGTCCAGTGACTGCACAAGAATAAGCCCTTCACACGCTGTTGCAGCCTTGACAAAACAAAATCACAATAAGCCAGGCTGAGAGGAAGAGGAAGTAACTGAAAGAAAATGAAAAATGTTCTCTTTTGTATTATGTTAAAGATGGACATAATTTTCTTATGATGAAAACAAACATTTTACTGTTATGTATAAATACACAGCATATATATATTCAGCATATATTCATTACACATAGCATATATATATGTGTGTGTGTGTGTGTATATATATATATATGTGCATAGTATACTAAAACCTTGACACAGTCTAGCCCTTTGGTAATACCTTAGTTGGGAAAAAAGGTGTGAATTGCACTCATTCATTTCTTTTCTGCTTAGAAGAAAATAGTTTAAAGCCAGGCGTGGTGGCACATGCCTGTAATCCCAGCACTCAGGAGGCTGAGGCAGGAGGATCCCTATGAGTTCAAGACCAGCCCGGGCTACATAGTGAGTTCCAGGTCAGTCTCAACTACATAGTGAGACCCTGCCTCAAAAACCGCCCCCAACAAAAGAAAAATATAGCTTATACATTTCTAATGTTTTAAAACATATTTATTATTTAAGGTCTTAAGATAAACATACCTGTATTGAACAAATTAACTTCTTTAGAAAACTTTGCAACAATACTCCACGTATCCACAAGTATGTTTTTTAAATCCATATCTATTAGTTTGAATAATTTAAAAACAAATCCTGCGAACACTCTGCTTAGCTAACAATAGTGTTTTATAAGCCCACATAAATGACTGTAAGAAGTATTTATAATATTCATAATAATTTACATAGTATCTTACCTAAGGCTTGATCACATTTAACTTTCCAGATGTAGAAGTCAGGACAGTGAGAGGTTGGGTGGCTGTTTTAGTAACTATAGTAACCACCTTTTCAATTTGCTTTTTGTGTTTTCATTTTACAATTGGCCTTCTGATTTCTGAAAGGTTCTTTCAATAAAGTGGCTCTTCGAGAAATCAGATATTGCTTACAAAGACCTTTCAGGTGTAGAGTAACAGTTTTACTTATCCCCAGAATAAACTAGGAGTGTATTTTCTAGTTTGTTCATGAAGAAAACCCTTTTTATTTTTCTATGTGTCCAAATGATTGTCTCAAAAGGAAAAACTTTAAGTGACTAGTGAATTTCCCCCTTAAAATTTTATCACTGTTGCCTTTTTAAAGTAGAACAACCTCTTTAGGGCTAGCCAATCAGGAAATAATGATGGCCCGTCACATCTTACAATCATCTTCAATGTGACTTCTCTTTTTCCTTTGAGCACTGGTGGCGAACGTTTTGGAGCTTTCAGTGATAATGAACAGCTCGCTGCGGCACGCGTGCGTGCCATAGGTTCGCCATCACTGCCTTAGTGTTTAGACACTGAGTGAAATTACAGACTTAACCAAGTCTGCTTAGTACAGTGTAGAGTCTATAAAATTTCCAGAGAGAAAGAAGACTACTTTGATTCTGCTGCCTGCCTTGCATGTGCAAGGTCCCTAGTTTGATCCCAATACCAAAATAAATAAATAAATAAAATTAAAAAAAAGAGTATTAGAATAAATAAAATAGAAACCATCCTGAATTTCTGATTTTATTTTAAAGCTCTCCCTCACCCCCAAATAAGCCCAGAATTTAGTTCAGAGAAACTTTATCCCTTAACTGTTTTTTTTTCCCTTTTGGAAGGGAATCACAATCACACATTGATCAGAACATTTCCTCTATGTGGGCAATAACTTCCATTTTAGACAGGAAGGGTCGGCATGGCGCGCCTGTTCTGTCCTAGTGGAATTTTTGGGTCCAGTCAAAGCCCGCCTAGGGCTAGTTTGCTGTGGAGGAGGGAGGTTTGATAGACGGGATGCTGCAGGACCGTCTCATGACCAACCTGACCTCTATGTCCGGCAGGTTTTCCTGATGAGTTTGCAGACAGCCTTCATCAGTGGCTGCGAGGTGGAGATCAAACCGCAGAGAGACGGACTTTTTCCTTAATCGGGGGTTGTCTTTAAAGAAGGAGCCCTCCCATTCTTTAATAACTTCATCCACTTTCTCTGTTCTGCAATGAAAAAGCGAAACTTGCTCCAGCAGGAAGTACGGGTATATGATATTTGCTAATATACATTCCTGTACATGAATACTTATATATTATTCTATATAATTTAGTCCAGATCAGTGAAAAAAATCAAATAATTGTATAATTCATAGTTTGCAAAATTCATAATTGACATGCAAGGTATATAATTTCCAAGGATTCAGTGCAATGTGTGCAGAAGTGGTGTGTTGTGGTTGTATTTTTAGAAACAAAATCCAGTATATTGGGTGCTTGTGTACTTTTCATCATATACATACTCAGGGCAGTTTAGAAATCATAGTACATTAAAACTATGTTTCGAAACAAAGAAGATTCGTTAGTGGGATTATTTGATTTAAATTAATTTCTTTACTTATATTTTTTGTTTCTCTCTCTCCTCTCCCTCTCTCTCTCCCTCTCCCTCTCCATCTCCCCCTCCCCTCTCTGTTTCTGAGACAGAGTCTCACCATGTAGCCCAGGCTGGTCTTGAATTCTCAGCGATCTTCCTGCCTCAGCCTCCTGACTGCTGGGATTGCAAGCGTGCAGCACCACGCCTGGCTTTTTATTATTTCTTGGTCAAGTTTATTTTACTTACTGAATGGTGCCGTGAGCCTCGGTGCTCTCCTTCATGATATTTCCATTTAATGTTGCCTGTTTGGTCACTGTCTCCACTTTTTCATCCTCATACTTTTGTGAGAGTTTTGTTGAAAAAGATATTTCATTGATGATGGCTGTGAAAATATTATTTATGACAAGTTACAATTGGAAATGTGCTCGCAATTACCTTATGTGTCAAACTTTTATGCAAATACCACTTGCTTTTGCTACTTTGGAGAATTAGATTTCATTACATGATACGACACATCACTTTTCAAATCAGTACATATCAACAACGTACCTGAAGGTAAAACAAAACCGACTCTACTGGTGGTAGGTTTGGGCTCTTTTCTCCCACCCTGGATACAGCCGTAATATCTGAAAATGGAATTACATTTCAGGAGTAACACTGTAATAGTCGGTAGTTGAAACAGTTATTATTATTATTGTTATTTTTGTTTTGTTTTGTTTTGAGAGAGAGTTTCACTATGTAGTTGAGATTGACCTGGAACTCTATGTAGCCCAGGCTGGTCTCAAACTCACAGGGATCCTCCTGCCTCAGCGTCCTGAGTGCTGGGATTGCAGGCATGTGCCACGACGCCCGGCTAGTTTTGTTTTGTTTTTTTGAGACAGGGTCTCACTATGTAGTTGAGACTGACCTGGAACTCACTATGTGGCCCAGGCTGGTCTCCAATTCACAGCGATCCTCTCGCCTCAGCCTCCTGAGTGCTAGGATTACAGGCGTGCTCCACCATGCCTGACCACACCCGGCTAGTTGAAACAATTAACAGTGGTGGCGAGCCTGTGGCACTGTGTGCTGCACTGGGCTGTTATAGCTGAAAGCTCTAAAAGGTTCGCCATCTCTGAATTAGAATAGTCATACAGCAGATAGGCTATATAGCAGCACAATAAATGAACTACATCTAAATGATACTGTATGTCTTTGTGGATAAATCTCCCAGCATGTGCATGAAAGAAGAAAGTTACAGCTAACTTTATAAAGGTTAAAATAACATGCAAAAAACCAGTTTTATACTTTGTTAGCGAAGCATACGCCATACTATGTTACCTACTCTGACAGAATTGGATCAGAATAATAAACAGCAAATTCAGGAGCCAGGGTAGGTAGAGGGAGCGGGCTGGAATTGGGAGATGTAGCTTTGGTTCCCCGGGGAACTTCGGCAACACGAGGAACATTTTACTTCTTAAACTAGCAGAAGTGGGTCCATGGGGGCTTGTTATGTTTTTCTCTTTTTCTTTTTTGGTGTATCGTAAGAGTAGCATAATTAAAAATCCAAAATTTATAGAAATATTAAAGACCAATTTGTCAACATCTTGAATGATTAGGAATTTTTTTTTTTTTTGAGACAGGGTCTTGCTATGTGGTTCAGGCTGGCCTTGAACTCACTATGTAGCCCAGGCTGGCCTCGAACTTGTGGGGATCCTCCTGCCTCAGCCTCCCAAGTGCTGGGATGACAGGTGTGTACCACTGTGCCTGGCCACATGTCCATTTATTTTATTTAGCAATATATAGTCACACCCATGTATCCATACATAACCATATATGAAACTATATCTATATATACCTGCAGGTACAGGGTGTTTACAGTGTGCCAGCTAGTATTTTAAGCCCTTTACAAACATTGACTCCTTTAATCCTCATAGCAATTCTGTGAGCTAGGTAATTATTAATATTATTATTCTTCCCATTTTACAGATTAGGAACCCAAAGAACAGAAAGCTAAGTGACTTGCCCAGGATCACTCAGCTAGTAGGTGGTGGTATATTTTGCATCGAGTTTGTGCTTTTTAAAGATTGAACACATGTCAGGACTTGTCATAGGCTGAAGTTGTTTCATCTAGTTTCGTAGAGGACTCAGGATTCTGAAACAAGCAAGAATAAGGGCTTCTTTGTGTCACGTTCGAAGTGGTATCACCTCAGAAGTGATTGTCAATTTTGATGTTATATGAACATTAAGATTTCCCGTTGTAATACCTTTTCCTACTGGGACGTCTGGAAGTTTTTGTTTTTTCTTTTTTGTATGGGGGATTGAACTCAGGATCTTCTTGGGAGGCAGGCAGCAGCACCACTGAGCTAAATCCCTGGCCCTGTTTTTTGTTTTTTCTCTTTCGAGTCAGGGTCTGTTTAGTCCAGGTTGGTCTTGAACTCATATGTAGCCCAGGTTGGTCTCAAACTTGCAGTGATCCTCCTGCCTCAGCTTCCTGAGTGTGGGGATTACAGGTGTGCGCCACCACACCCAGTTTCAAAGTCCTTTAAATCAACTCAGAAATGTATTCTTTTTCTTGGTTATAGTTTGATCACATTATTACTATGACCACTGCTACTACTACTACTATTTTCATGTTTAATCTGTGGTGGGTGGGCCTTTAAGGTGGAGTTCTGGTGATAACACGTGAGTCTTCCAAACTGCAGTGAAAGCGAGAATCTAAATCCCAGCATTTGGGAGGCTGAGGCAGAGGGATCACTGTGAGTTTGAGGCCACCCTGCATATAGACTAGTGAGACCGTGCCTCAGAAAACAAAAACATAAAACAAAATTCCAGAGAAAAAGAAAGAAAGGAAATAAAACAAAAAACATAAAAAAAACCCCAGGGGGGGAAAAAAAGACAGAGTGAGAATCTAAAGAAAGGTCATTTCTGAGTTGGGCGTGTTGGCGCATGCCTGTAATTCCTGTACTCTGGGAAACTGAGGCAGGAAGATCACAAATTCAAGCCCAGTCTGGGTACATTAGTGAGTCAGTGAGATTTCTGTCCCTGAATAAACTGCCTAAATGAATAAGTGAAAAGATGGAAAAACGGAGAGTCACTGAGGAGGCTCTGGGTCCAATCCCCAGTACTTAAAAAAACTCATTTTTGAAGTGATAAAGAGTTGCTTACGTTTTGTTCTGGCCAACTCTGGGACAGCTTTTTCTTTTTTTTTTTTTTTTTTTTTTAAACTGTACCTCAGATTCAACCCAGGGCCTTTGCACTGAGCTACATCCCTAGCTTTTTTTTTTTTTTTAAACTGTACCTCAGATTCAACCCAGGGCCTTTGCACTGAGCTACATCCCTAGCTTTTTTTTTTTTTTTAAACTGTACCTCAGATTCAACCCAGGGCCTTTGCACTGAGCTACATCCCTAGCTTTTTTTTTTTTTTTAAACTGTACCTCAGATTCAACCCAGGGCCTTTGCACTGAGCTACATCCCTAGCTTTTTTTTTTTTTTTAAACTGTACCTCAGATTCAACCCAGGGCCTTTGCACTGAGCTACATCCCTAGCTTTTTTTTTTTTTTTAAACTGTACCTCAGATTCAACCCAGGGCCTTTGCACTGAGCTACATCCCTAGCTTTTTTTTTTTTTTTAAACTGTACCTCAGATTCAACCCAGGGCCTTTGCACTGAGCTACATCCCTAGCTTTTTTTTTTTTTTTAAACTGTACCTCAGATTCAACCCAGGGCCTTTGCACTGAGCTACATCCCTAGCTTTTTTTTTTTTTTTAAACTGTACCTCAGATTCAACCCAGGGCCTTTGCACTGAGCTACATCCCTAGCTTTTTTTTTTTTTTTAAACTGTACCTCAGATTCAACCCAGGGCCTTTGCACTGAGCTACATCCCTAGCTTTTTTTTTTTTTTTAAACTGTACCTCAGATTCAACCCAGGGCCTTTGCACTGAGCTACATCCCTAGCTTTTTTTTTTTTTTTAAACTGTACCTCAGATTCAACCCAGGGCCTTTGCACTGAGCTACATCCCTAGCTTTTTTTTTTTTTTTAAACTGTACCTCAGATTCAACCCAGGGCCTTTGCACTGAGCTACATCCCTAGCTTTTTTTTTTTTTTTAAACTGTACCTCAGATTCAACCCAGGGCCTTTGCACTGAGCTACATCCCTAGCTTTTTTTTTTTTTTTAAACTGTACCTCAGATTCAACCCAGGGCCTTTGCACTGAGCTACATCCCTAGCTTTTTTTTTTTTTTTAAACTGTACCTCAGATTCAACCCAGGGCCTTTGCACTGAGCTACATCCCTAGCTTTTTTTTTTTTTTTAAACTGTACCTCAGATTCAACCCAGGGCCTTTGCACTGAGCTACATCCCTAGCTTTTTTTTTTTTTTTAAACTGTACCTCAGATTCAACCCAGGGCCTTTGCACTGAGCTACATCCCTAGCTTTTTTTTTTTTTTTAAACTGTACCTCAGATTCAACCCAGGGCCTTTGCACTGAGCTACATCCCTAGCTTTTTTTTTTTTTTTAAACTGTACCTCAGATTCAACCCAGGGCCTTTGCACTGAGCTACATCCCTAGCTTTTTTTTTTTTTTTAAACTGTACCTCAGATTCAACCCAGGGCCTTTGCACTGAGCTACATCCCTAGCTTTTTTTTTTTTTTTAAACTGTACCTCAGATTCAACCCAGGGCCTTTGCACTGAGCTACATCCCTAGCTTTTTTTTTTTTTTTAAACTGTACCTCAGATTCAACCCAGGGCCTTTGCACTGAGCTACATCCCTAGCTTTTTTTTTTTTTTTAAACTGTACCTCAGATTCAACCCAGGGCCTTTGCACTGAGCTACATCCCTAGCTTTTTTTTTTTTTTTAAACTGTACCTCAGATTCAACCCAGGGCCTTTGCACTGAGCTACATCCCTAGCTTTTTTTTTTTTTTTTTTTTTTTTTTTGAGACAGGTATTTGAGACAGGACTCACTATGTAATTCAGACTGCCCTGGAGCTCACTGTGCAGCCCAGCCTGGTCTCAAACTCACAGCGATCCTCCTGCCTCAGCCTCCACACCCTGCCCTTTCTGTATTTTTGAGACAAGGGCTCTCTACGTGGTTCAGTCTGACCTTGCAGTCACTCTGTAGCCCAGACTGGCCTCAAATTTGCAGCGATCTTCCTGCCTCAGCCTCCCGAGTGCTGGGATGACAGGCAGGCGCCACCATCCGGGGACCCTCGCTAGGAGGTGGGAAGCCGACGCACCACGCAGGTGGCCCTAACCCGACTTATGGGCGGAGCAAGGCCCATGCGCCTTGGCGGTGATGGGGGCTCAGTGGCAAGTTTTCCAGCCCACCCCGCCAGTGATCGAAGGTCTGTACCTGATTTCCTCCCTCTCCAGGAGGCGGCGGTAAGTCTCGATCTCTTGTTCCAGCCTCATTTTCGTGTTGAGCAGCAGCTCGTGCTCCTGCAGCTGCCGCTCAATGCCGCGCCGGACGTCCTGCAGCTCCGTCTCCAGCCCCTCGATCACAGCCTCCAGGTCCTGCAGCTGCATCTGGTGCTGCTGCTCGCTGGCCTGCAGGGAGCTCTCCAGGCCCCTTTCCTGCGGACAGAGAGCGGCCTCAGGGAACCAGCGATACCAGATGGGGTTCGCGCCGACTTAGCCCGGGCTGGCCTCAAACTCGCCGCGATACTCCTGCCTCAGCCTCGCCCCTCACCACAGCGTGCAGCGACTCGATCTCCACTTGCAGGTGATGCCACTGGCGCTGGGCCTCCTTGAGCTCTGCTCGCGCCACCTTCAAAGCTTCCTGGTCTCTGTCCATCTTTTTGCTTATGTCTTCTTCCAGCTGCGAAAAAGCCAAGGACAGCAAAGGAAACAGCGCTCCTGAAAACGAGGCTTTCCCAGCGGCTTTAAAAAACTGTGCCGGAATGGAATCATCTCTGAATGGTTAGGCTGCAGGTGTGATATCCTTAGCTTTCTGTGCGAGGAGTTACATAGGTGAGCTCGTATAATTTTTTTTTTTTTTTTTTTTTTTTTTTTTTTTTTTTTTTTTTTAGCCTTGAACTCACTATATATACCAGTCTGGCTTCGAACTCGAGGAGATCCTCCTGACTCACCCTCCCAAGTGCTGGGGTTACAGGCATGAACCCCACACCCAGCAAAATCCTTTTAGGAAGGAATTTTTTTGGGGAGGGTACCGGGGATTGAACTGAGGACCTTGAGCTTGCCAGGCAGGCAGCAGCACCACTGAGCTAAATCCCCATCACAGGACTTTTTTTTTTTTTTTTTTTACCAGGGTCGAACTCAGGCCCTTGTGCTTATAGGATAGGCAGCAGAATCACTGACCCAAATCCCCTGCCCTAGAGAACTACTGGCACTACTCTTTAAGCTTTTCAATTAAACTGAAAAGGAAGAAATACAAGCTAAATCCCGGGCCCATCCCTAGCCCTTTTTAAAATTTTTGAGGCAGTGTCTTTGTCGGTCATTGAATTGCCCAGGCTGGCCTTGAATTTCATCCTCCTGCCTCAGCCTCCCAGAGAACTGGAAAGGCAGGTGTGCACCACCATGCTTGGCTTAGAGGACATCTTCATTTTGGATATCTGGGGTTGTAACAAAAATGGTATCTTAAAGATTGTTTCTAAATGTCCTTATATTAAAAAAAGAGTGGGATTTTTATATTTGACTATATTTATATATATTTCATTATGATGTTGGAATTAAAAGAAAATATGTTTTCTTAACATTCGGCTCCAAGAACAGTAGGAATAGTGTATTAAATTGATGGTAGTATTTTGCAGGAAAACGACAACTGTTTATGTTCTTGTCAAATATGTTTTAAATTAAAAAACAGAGTGTGATGGTACAAAAAATTTTGTGGAAAAGAACCTGGAGCCAGTACAAGTTTATCAGTAAAGATTAGGACAAGAGAACAAAGCCGACCCGCTTTGGGGCTGCTGGGGCTTGTGCTCAGCGCAAAGTCACGCAGCAGATTACGAAGAGAAGGTGTGGAGTTTTGGGATGATCAGAGCACGTGTGGGCCAGTGTCTTCTGGGCTCTGGATTTGGGGTGCGGGCAGCAGCTGGGCTTGTGTCCGTCAGAGCCAGATTCCCGCAGGTCCCCACATTTTTGTCCTTTTGTGGTTCCCTCCGCATGGAATCCTGCAAGTTCCAGCTGTGCCCCCCAAACAACAGCCAGCATCGCATGCAGGGCCTGGTCACCCCCAGATTCACCCAAAAGAACGTGGCCGTTGTGTAGCCCAGGGTGACCTTACCGTCATCCAGCAGTAACTCCAACAGCTTGTACCGATTTATTTTGTGACTTGGGCCTGGGTACTGAGGAGAGAGCCCAAGGCCGGAAACTCTTTTCTTTTGTTTGTTCTGGTACCGGGGATCGAACTCAGGACCTTGCGCTTTTGAGGCAGGCGGCAGAACCACTGAGCTAAATCCCCAGCCCTCATGCTCTTTTCTAATAATTAAACCACCAGGCTTTCTTGAATGCATCTCAAGTGACTTTCTAAATTGTTTGTGGAAAAGATTCTCAAAAGTAGTTTTATGTCTAAAAATTCCCTACGCCAAAGTTATGCAGTAGTCTCATTTTTAAAATTTCAGTTTGCTTATTTGGGTATTGTATTTTGCAAGCGTCACCTGAATTTCTATTACTGCTAGATCGTTTTCTTGGTTTATACTTTTCAGGAGTTGTCAGTATTCATTTTTTCCCCTTCTTATTATAAAAGATGAGTGAATAATTCCTATGCTTAAATCAAAAGCCCCAGTGACTTTGCTTAAATCTAAGGGTTCCAAGCATTGTTTTATGAAACCTGAAAATGTTACCCAGGGGTAGAATTTATAATGTCACTAACATGAGTTACCAATAGCGTAAAAGCCTGTGCTTTCCTAGCAGTATTTTGATTTCTTTTTTGGTGATGTTTTTAAGTAAACTTTCTATTTTTTTGTTGAATTTGGGTGCCTGGAATAGAAATCAAGCTGAGATATGCTACCTACAGTAAAAACAACACCAAACCCAACCAAAACCCAGACCAAAAAACAGAACCCCTCCACTTCTGAATCTTTGCTTCTAACATTTTTGCTTTTAAATTTGCTTAAAGACTTCAGACCTGAGTGAATCACTGTGATTGCCTATTTAAACCTAAGGACGTGAAATCCAGCCTTTAAGTTGGTTCTCTTTTGAAATACACACTGCAAGGTTGTGGACTGGAACATTTCTCATCTTTACAGCGCAGCAGCCAAAGACCAAATTGGAGAACGATTACCAATTCTGGGAATGTGATTGTCACAACTCATTCGCTATTTATGCCAACCGAGGATAAAACTGAACTCATTACAAGGGTGGCAGGAGCCTCCTGGAAACATTTGCTTTCTCTTCGGCAAGTGTGCACCGCCGGACATCTACTCTCGGCTGGCATTAACGAGATGCGATCTGAATTATTCCTATGAGCAACTTCGCTGCCTTTGAAGGCTACCGGTGACGCCTGCCCCGGAGGACGTCTACGCGGGCTGGAACGCACCATCTTACTGTCCGGGGACCCCACGGCTCATCCGCGGTTCCAGCCTGAGCGTCTCTCTCTGAATGGGAGGCATCCAGCATCTCCCGGTCATCCGGGCCCCTGGCAGCGCAGACCTCTGCTCCTTCCCGGGGACGTCAGCAAGGAGAGGAAAATCCGGTCACCTGGGGAGGCCGGGGCAGGGGCCCGGCCCTGGGAAATCATTACCTGGATCCTGGTGGACAGCACGGTCTCTATCTGATTGCTGCTGAGGAGCTGTGCATAGTTTTCCCTGACCTCAGCGAGGAGCTGGGACACCTCCATTGTTTCCCCATCCTCCACCTCGGCTAACTGAACCTCGCAGCAGCTGTGGCTGCGGCAGAGCCGGCCCTGCCCACGGCTGCTGAGCTGAGCCCACGGCCTTAAAGATGCAGGGCGCCTTTTTCAGAGGCTGGGGCAAACTCCCGGTTTTCTAATCCACCACGCAAATACAGGCCCAGCCCCCCGCTCCTGCTGTCACTGGTCTAGAAGAAAGGTTCGGGAAGAAGGAACACCAACACCCGCCTTGTCCCTGCTTAGTTCCCCTGTTTAAACGCCCTCTCCACTCTCTGTAGCTCCTTGCTGATCTCTGCTCTGAGGCGGGGACAAGTTCATTTATTCTGTGGAGGGAAACGGGTCATAACATTAAGGATATTCTGTTTAGGTTCCCCAAGACACTGCACAGCTAAAATGTTCTTTCATAGTTTTTCTTACCACTTGGGGACCTTTTTGTTTTCTGAGACAGAGTCTCAAGCTATGTAGCCCAGGTTGGCCTTGAACTCCTGGGGATCCTCCTGACTCAGCCTCCCAAGGGCTGGGATTACAGGCGTGCCCCACGATCCCCAACATCATATGGGTATTTCAAACAGAAATACTGTTTGGTAGGTCATTAGAATATGTGGTAAATTTAAATATTCTGACAGCTATTGGGAAAAGCAACTACCAGATTAGGTAGATAAGTCTTGGCCACAGGCTGTGCTGACCGTATTTCTCCCAAGGGCACACCATGTGTAAGTCAGGGTGACAGGCTCCGAGTTTGACGGATTGGGGCGAATTCCTGAAGGAATGTTCCAGGCAATGCCTAGGCTGTGGGCAGCACCGGTGGAGCCGGGAAGCTGTCAGGTACACACCCAGGGTTAGGGCAAAGTAGAACAGTGTTATTCGGTCTCTGTGTGGATGGATCCACTCCAGTGAGGTCATGGGGAGTTTTCTCCTCGGTGAGTAGCCCGCGGGGAAGAGCCTGTACCAGCGAACGCTATGCTGCTGCAGTTTTTCCAACTTACAAAAGTCCTTTGCATCCGTTACTCCATCCAATCCGCCCAATCCTGGCACCCGGGGACCCACACGGCCAAGGAGACCGAGGCCAGGGCGTCTGGTCAGTGCCATCATGCTGTTGTGGGGCCGGAACTAGGACTGCTTGGCGGCCACCATCGCTCCAGCTGCAGGGCCTCTCCCCCCACGTTCCCGTCCTACCTGTCCCCTCGTTGCCAGGTGAGGCTGAAATATTTGGATTTGAGTCTGTTCATTTAGACAGTTTTTATTCTTTCTACGTTTCCCTTTCCCACTTTTGGAGAACTAGCATTAGAAACGACAGTCTTGCCCCAACCCAGAAATCTCCTCTTCGAGGGTGTTAAAGAAAACCATTTAATGATTGAGTAATCATTATCACAGGCAATCTGCTAAGAACTTACAAAGCCGGAAGGAGATCTAACCGCCTTCCGGGGACACAGTCTATTCGACACGTTTCTGGGAAACACAACTAATGCTCAAGTAAAAGGACCTGACCGTTATTCATCGCCCATACCTCATCTAAGTTCACCTGGCATTTGGGGGATCACCTGCGTTTGCTAACCGGCTTTATTATTCAGAGGAAAAGCAAGCTTTCCACGGCTTTATGACAGGAGTTACTTTTACAACTTGGAGTAAGTTTTCCACCACAGTTAGGCTGCAACCTTGGACAGAAGCCGGGAGACAGAGGGTGCTGGCTGCCTCCATGCTAACATTACAAAGAAATAGCGCCCAGGTCCTTGAGAAAGGCATATTCTGGGAGTAGAAAGCTGATCCCAAGGCCTATCTGAATAAATGCTCCCTGATTTAAAATTATTATCCCAGAAGGGCCGGGGATGTAGCTCAGTGGTTCCCCCACCTGCTTCGCAAGCACGAGGTCCCGAGTTTGATCCCCTGTACACTCCCCCCATAGAATTATCATCCCAGGGCTATAGGAATTGTGTGTGTCGGCTTTCTGTTACTATATGTAAACATTTGAGGTAGTCAATTTATAAAGGGAAAGCTTTGTTTTCGCTCACAGGTTTAGCCCTTTCGGTTCACCATCCAGTGGCCTCCTGGCTTTGAGTCTGTGGAGAGTCAGCTTATTGTGGCGGACTCGCTTCACCGCTAGGAAGCCAAAATGTGGCTTGGGGAAAGATTGTCGTTTCTAACGCTATTTCTCCAAAAATGACCTAAGGGCCTCCCTCCGGCCCCGTGCCTAGCGGTTCCACTCTCTCCCAGTGGCGCTATGCTGGGAACCAAGCCATTGATACTGTAGGGCACAAACTAGCCAGGCACCAAAATGGCATAAAAACTGAAGTGTAGGCCGGTGGAATGGAACAGAGAGCCTAGAAATAAATCCAAAGCTATGCGGTCAACTAGTTTTTGCCGAGGGTACCAAGTGGGCACAATAGGGGAAGGGTAGTCTCTTCAGTGACTGCTTAAAGGGCAAAGTGGATTAGTAATAGATTTTAGCTGTCCTTGTGCAAAGGGCTGTTTTGAGTTGGGAAAGCTGCAGCACCACCGTGTTCTCTGGTACAGGCTGTCTTACCTGCACGGCTACTCACCGAGGAGAAATTTCCACACGTGAAATGATGAAAACCCTTAAACTTGAAATCCTTACTTTATACCACACCCAAAACCAACTCAAAGTGGAGAGAAGATCCAAGCATAAGACCTGAAACCACAAAACTCCTAGAGGAGAGTGCAGGGGAAAGGCTCCGTGAACAATTTTTTGCAGATCCTCCAAAAGCCCAGGCCACAAAAGCAAAGATAAATACATGGGTCACATCGGACTAAAAACCTTTGGGCCAGCTAGAGAAACAATCCATACATTGAGAAGGCAACCTCTGGCCTGGGGGAAAAGTAGTTGTAAACCACGTACCTGGCAGGCGCTAATGTGCAAACATGTAAAATATAATTTATATCACACTCAGTGGAAGGAAAAGAAATGACTCAGGTACATCGAGCGGGACAAGGACCAGATGTGCATGCGAAGAAGACAGGAAAACAGGAACAGGTGTGTGAAGAGGCCCGGAACGTGGCTGCTCAGTGGGGACATTCGGCCTGAAACTACAGAGAGGTTTTGCTTCACTCTTGGGTGGCTGTTATCAAAAAGACAAGCAAGGCGTCCAGCCTTTGGATAAAGGATCAAGTGGGTGGGGGAAAAGGGGCCCTTAAAACCACAAAAGGGCCACCCTGGAACGCTCTTACTAGGAAAGCATAAGCATTATGGAAAACAACACGGCATCTTTTAAAGAAATAACTATACTATATAAATCAGTGCACTGGAGTGCTACACAGTCTTTACAAAGGGGACCCTGCCCATTGACAACGCGTGTGGATCTAGAGGACATTATGATAAAGGGAAAAAGCCAGGCCTAGAGAGATAAAGCATTGCACGATCTCGCTAATACCGTGGACCCTCGAGTTACGACCGGCCTGACATATGAAAAGCTTGGGTTATGACCAGAATTTTAGCTTTAATTTATGATCAGAATCTTGAGTTATGACCTGAATGCTGGCCACTTGCACTTCCAGATGCTCTCAGATACAGATTTAGCCTTTAAAGAGCTCTGGACGGAGCATGACAGCGTCCTCTCCTGTGTGGGGTTCACTGAGAAACCCTGGGCTGGTGTCTCTCTAGGATGCGGAGATCTGCCTGTGTGCAGGAGAGACTTTGAAGGCTGGGTAGAGGATCCCGAGCCCTCACTGACCAACCTGAGTTACAAGCAGCCCTCGGGAACGAATTAAGTTCGTAAGTCAAGGGTCCCCTGTATGTGGAATCTTAAAAAAAGTCAAATATAGAGAATAAAACAGTGGTTACCTGTGGAGTGGGTGTGTGGGGAAGCGTACAGATAAAGGTCAAAGGATGCAAAGCGGAGATACTTAGGGGACAAGACTAGAGCTCTTACACAGGAGTGCCGAGGGTAACCGAATCATGCAGTGTTTGAGATTTTTACCGAGTAGATGTTAGCTATCGTTGTCACCAAAAAATAACTATATGAAGATAATTTGATTTGCTTTACTATACTATTTTAACATCCAAGTGGGTGCCACGGCATGATGTTGTAATCTTCAACCATACGCCAGAAAATGTGTTTTTTTCAAAAAGAAAATAAGCACTGACAGAATAAGGAAAAGAGGAACATCTTTTTTATTTTGAAACGGGAGAGTGAAGCCTCTGGTTTTCAAGTTGTACCCGTCCCCCTCCTGTGCTGGAGGCTCTGATGCCCATCTGCGGTGGTGTGGAAGTCTTGGCTGCGTCTGCCCGGAAGCACCGTGTTCTTTTTGGCTCTAGCTCCTTCCCTGGGGTGGCAGATCCGGGAAGCAGGGGCGCAGGGCTCCCCCTAAACGGTCCCTTTGCCAAACCTCCCTCCAGTTCTTTGCGGGGAGCTGGGGATCTGATGCAGAGGCGGGGCCTGGGCTCCTCTCTCTGCCGACCCTGCCCCTGCCCTGTCTGCGGGACCATCTTTCCTCTTCCTTGAGGCCCGGGTAGGAAATCTTGCTCTGGGCCCCTCCACCCTAAGATCCTGGTGGGAGAGAACTCTCGGTTTCTCTGTCTCCTTTCCCGAGAGCCAACCAAAACGGCGTAACAGCGCCATCCTCCCGGGAGAAGAGAAGCTAATTCCAACAGCACTCAGGTTTGGTCCGCGGTGCCCGACAGGGCTTGTTTTTAAGAATCTGCACTATTAAGCCTGCCAGCTCATGATTCGAAGTTCTGTGCGTTCCTCCTGAAAGTGTGCTGTTTTGAGCCCTCGGTGCAAGCAGCTGTATGTAATTTCATCATTTGGCTCGTTCGTACCAAATAACAGCATTGACCAAAACTTTCCTCTTTTAAGTCATTATTTTGCTTCTCCCCCTGGAATCCCTCTCCTTTCCAGTCTAATAGAGACTTTCATAGGTAGAACTAGTTCCTATCTCCTGTGTTTTCCATAGACGTGAAGGAGGTAAGGGAAGTACACGGCCAGGAGGCAAACAGGGAGCTTGGAATCAGCAGATTCTCCAAATTTTTAGTGTTCATGAAACCAAGCAAAGCAGACACACATCTGCCCTCCCTCCTGGTGAATTTTTACACTGGGAGCCTGGCACTGACTGTGTGTGTGGGTGGGAGGGTGGCAGCATCTTTCCCAGCCCCTTTGTACT